GAGCAGCCTGGAAAACCTGCCTGCTGAGCCTCACACCCCCTGCCCAAATCTGCAGGTCAAACTGGAGGCTGGAATTAGGGAACACCCTCCTATAGGGGATGTCTGGGATTTCTAGTTGTTAGCATCGCACTGGGGCATCTGTGCAGCTAATTTGGATTAACAGGGTGCAATATTGCACCTCTTTTTCCCTTCCCTGAGTAAAATGGGGTTTCAGTTTTGATCTTTCTGGGTAGTAAATCTCAGACTCATCTACAGCCACGAGGGACAGGGAAGGTGCAAGGAGGGGGGAAGGGGGCACTTGCCTTGCTAGCACCGTGCTGTCCTTCCTTTTTCTCTCTAGCCTCAAACTGGAGCATCCACTAAGAATAGGTGGGAAAAAAAGACACCTTCTAGTGGAAGTTGGAGTTGGAACTACGTGATTTTTAGGGTGCCTTCCAACCCAAACCACCCTGTGACTCTATGACAAAACCTGCCCGGCGCAGAGTCCTCTGAACCCAAGTGAGGTGGAATCAGATGCACCTCAAACAAACAAACAAACAAACAAATAACAAATAAATGAAGTGAGAAAGGCTTTTTCAGGGTGATCTGCAGGCACACCACGGCTGGGGCAGCCGGGGCTGGTGAGGCTCTGGGCGTGGGATGAGAACGGAGATGGAGGTGGTGAGATACGGGGTGTGGGCAGCGGTGCTGAGCGGTGCCCGGGCTGGATGGGGCGGTTCGGGGCCCTGCTTTCATCACCACGGCTTCGAGATGGGCAGAGGAGCCCCAGCCAGGTCTGTGTCATCCCCCAAAGTGCTGATACAACCCTTTCTCCTCCCGGGCTCCCAACTGGGGCGGTGCCAACGCTGCTGGGAGAGGTGTCCCAGCACAGGGCTGGGGGCACCCAGGGCCACGGGCACCCTCCTCACAGAGTCACCCCAGCACACTGGCCAAGCCCCCTCCAGGTTGGATTTACAGACAAGATTTTTTCCCTTTCCAGTCAATCTTTCTCCCATTTTTTTTTTGCCTTTTTTTTGGTTTCACATACTTAAGGCCAAGAGCGCCCGGCGCCTTGGCTGCTCAAGGGAAACCAGCACCCAAGACAACGGCCTTGTGCCCATCAACCCCCAGCACCCCGGGGACACAGATGCCACAAACACCTCACACCAGGGGGTTTCCACCCTCTGCACGTCCCAAACTCTTCATTTCCCGGCTCGGATCGCGGGGCCGGGCTGTGGCTCGTGGGGCTGACGTCTCTCGTGGGAGGCGGCAGGGAGGGAAACCCTCGCCCTGCTGAGGTTCTCAAAAGTATGAAAGTTAAAAAAAAAAAAAAAAAAGGCAGTTCTTGGAAACAACTCATCTCTGTGGGAGGTGAGAAGCCTTTCCACACACCAGCTACGTGCGGTGCGAGGGGACAGCTGGAGCCTTTCGGGGCAAGAAACCTTCGGGGAGGGAAAAGAGACCACAGAGGGTCAGGATGGGGCCCTGCAGGGACAACGTGGTGGCAGAGGGGATAGGAAGTGCTCTGGCTGCAAGGTCCCTCCTCCTGGTCCCAGCCAGCAGATGCTGCAGGATGGGGACACGTTCCTGTCGCTTATTGCGGTGGCACCAAGCGGGGACGTGACTGAGAGCGCCAAACCTCTAATGCAGACCCCAAAAATGAACGGGGCAGGAGACACCAACAACCTGCTGCTGTGCTGCTGTGGATGAGCAGGCAACAGGGAGGGACACAGGGACCCTGTGGGGGATCAAACCCTCTTGGTCTCCCTCTCCTCCTCAACACAGTGGCCAGGACAGCAGGGATGGGGTGGAAACCTGAAGCCCTTTAAGGGCAAAGGATGTTTAGAAAGGGGGGAGAGAGGTTAAAGAAGACTGAATGGCATCAGGCAAAAAAAAAAAAAAAAAATCAAAGGGGGGAAAAAGCATTTAGAGGGGAAAAAAAGCCTTTGCACAAGAGTTCCCAGGAGATGGGCAGAAAAGGAGCTGGAGCTGCAAGGGATAGCTGGGAGGAGGAGAGGAAAAGTGACAGCAGAGGAGGTCAGAGCGGTGGGAAGGAAAGGAAAGGAAAAGGGAAGGGAAAGGGAAGGCAGCCAGCAGGTGGGAGTGATGGGGGAGGCCCTGGAGATGCTCCCGTTCAGCCAGGAACAGACTAAACATCCCTGTATAGCTTCCAGCTATTCATTTTTTCATGTTCTGCCTGCTGTGGATTATTTTGCAAGCAGCTGTGGAAGCGACGGGGCTTTGCACCAGGGCTGCAGCTCTCCAGAGCCAGGCTCTTGCTAAACACAGAGCTGCAGAGAGCAGGGGGGAAAAAAGGAGGAAATTCCACAGGAAGTTCAAATATTTTATTACTTCCTGTTTGTACAAAGTATGTCAACACTTGGCACCCGCTGTGCTATTTGTTTAGAGCTAAGGTGCCAACTTGACAGAATGTCCTTTCCCCCCCCCCCCCTCCAGATCTAACCCAGAAAGAGCCTGAGAACAAGGAAGAAAAGATCTTGGAGCGAGCGGGGCACCAGGAAGGAGACTGTGGGATGGCTTGGAGGGGATGCTCAGCCAAAGCCACCGCTGTTATCAGCTCCACACTGGCTGTGGATGCCTCAAAGGAGCATCTTCATCTCCAGGGTCCAGCTCTCCTGGTCCCTCCCATCGCAGGGCCCTGCCTGCCCCCAGCTCCCCTGCGGTTCCTCACCCATCTCAACCCCCATTCCAAACTCCTCAGAAGTTTTTTTCTGGGCACAGCTTGAGTTGAAAGGCTCGCTCAAGGGCTGAGATGAAGCGATGGGACAGGGGTGGAAGATGAATGGGATGCTCGGAGCTGGGGCGTGGAGAGCTCAGCCGCGTTCCTGGCCCCACAAAAACCCCCACGAGAACGTTGGCTGGAGGGATCTCGCTGCGTCTGAGGAGACGATGCCCAGGGCTTTCCCAGGATACCAAGACAAATGGCCAATTCTTTGCACGTTAAGGATGCCTTTCTGCCCGCCCCACCAGCCCCACATCCAGCCTCCAGCCCCGGCCAGCGCTGATCCCGCATGACAGGAGCCAACACACAGCACGTCCCACTTGTTTGCAGCCAAGAAAGGGAATAAAAACCAGCATTTTTACGCACACACACATATAAAAATATATCTATGCACATATGTATGTTAAAAAATGTATATATATAATATATATACACGCAAAAGTTTGCAGTTCCTTCTGCCAGCTCTCTCCAAGCAAGAGAGAGAGGCTCAAGCCACGGTGTTTGGCCAAAGGTAGGGATTTACCAGGGCTGCACCAGCTCCAAATGCCACCTGGGGAGCCAGGTGGGTGCTGGCACACGGGGGTGCTGTGCCAGAGAGCCACCCAGTGGCAGGTGAACCGGGGAAACCACGCTGGATTTCCAGGAGCGAGCCCGGATCGTTTTACGGCTGGTGATTTCCACAGCACGGGACTGCAGGGAGGGAAGGGCAAGGGGCAATATTTAAATATTTTTTTTTTTTTAAATTTCGTGTTCATCAGAAGTGTGGCCAAAAAAAAAAAAAAAGAGATTTTTATTATTATTTTTTATTCCAGTGCAAGACACTGGATTTTCATCAGTGAGGAATTTAAGCCCCAGGGTCAAACTGGGAGTCAAAATGTGACCTTTACTGCCAACAAATCTAGGATCATCGTAAACAAACTCCAAAAAAAACCCACAACTTGGGCCTAAAATTCTTCAATCAGCAATTTAAGGGCTGGGGGGGGGGGTGGTGGTGCAGGGATGGGGGAGAGATCAACCTTTTGGGATCCACACAAGACAAGGGCGTAAGCAGCAAATAAACACCACACAGATCTCCTTAAGGAGCCAGCACCTCCAGCACGTTTTCAGGTCCACAA